GCTAAATTCTCCTCATTCTTATGATCAAAATAAAGTTTTTACTAAACATACCGTTGATGCTTTAATGCAATCCCATGAAGAAAAACTTGAATTAGAAGTTTCTATCCCTAGAAAACTTTATGATGAGTGAGAACCTACTATTAAAATTAAGATTAAAGATCATGAATGCTATGCTTTATGTGATTTGGGTGCTAGTGTTTCCACTATTTCAAAAACTTTGTGTGATGTGTTAGGTTTTCGTGAATTTGATGATTGTTCTTTAAATTTGCATCTTGCGGATTCCACCATTAAGAAACCTATGGGAAGGATTAATGATGTTCTTATTGTTGCAAATAGGAATTATGTGCCCGTAGATTTCATCGTTCTTGATATAGATTGCAATCCTACATGTCCAATTATTCTTGGTAGACCTTTCCTTAGAACGATTGGTGCAATTATTGACATGAAAGAAGGAAATATTAGATTCCAATTTCCGTTAAGGAAAGGTATGGAACACTTTCCTAGAAAGAAAATTAAATTACCTTATGAATCTATTATGAGAGCCACATATGGATTGCATACCAAAGATGATAATACCTATATCTATTCTTGCTTTTATGCCTAGCTAGGGGCATTAAACGATAGCGCTTGTTGGGAGGCAACCCAATTTTATTTTTTTTCATTGCTTTTTGTTCCTGTTTAGTAATAAATAAATCATCTATCCTCTGTTATGATTGTGTTTTTTATGTTTTAATTAATGTTTGTGCCAAGTAAAGCCTTTAGGATCTTCTTGGATGATTGTTATTTGATCTTGCTGAAAAAATAGAAAGTATGCGCTCACGAGAATAATTTTCACTTTTTACCAGAGAGCGATAAAATACTAATTCGAACTGCAGTAGACCATTATACAAATTATTTAGGATGTCCTGATTTCTCAGGATTTTTAGAGTTATAGAAGTATTCGAAACCTACAGATTACTACAGACTGTTCTGTTTTTGACAGATTCTGTTTTTCGTGTGTTGTTTGCTTATTTTGATGAATCTATGGCTAGTATCGGGGGTATGAACCATAGAGAAGTTGGAATACAGTATGTTTAACACCAAAACAAATAAAGAATGAGCTTATTACAGTACCTTAAGGTGATTATTTGTTTTCTTATACTAATGGAGTTCATGAGATTTTTTGGTTGAGTTTTGTGTTGTGAAGTTTTCAAGTTTTTGGGTAAAGATTTGATGGATTTCGGAACAAGGAGTGGAAATAGCCTAAGCTTGGGGATGCCCAAGGCACCCCAAGGCAAAATTCAAGGACAACCAAAATCCTAAGCTTGGGGATGCCCGGGAAGGCATCCCCTCTTTCGTCTTCATCTATCGGTAACTTTACTTGAGGCTATATTTTTATTCAACACATGATATGTGTTTTGCTTGGAGCGTCTTGTATGATTTGAGACTTTGCTTTTAGTTTACCACAATCGTCCTTGCTGTACACACCTTTTGGGAGAGACACACATGAATCGGAATTTATTAGAATACTTTATGTGCTTCACGTATATCTTTTGAGCTAGATAATTTTGCTCTAGTGCTTCACTTATATCTTTTTAGAGCACGTTGGCGGTTTTATTTTATAGAAATAATTGATCTCTCATGCTTCACTTATATTATTTTGAGAGTCTTTTAGAATGGCATGGTAATTTGTTTTGGCTATAAAATTAGTCCTAATATGATAGGCATCCAAGATGGTATAATAAAAACTTTCATATAGAGTGCATTAAATGTTATGAGAAGCTTGATACTTGATAGTTGTTTTGAGATATAAAGATGGTAATATTAGAGTTGTGCTAGTTGAGTAATTGTGGAATTGATAAATACTTGTGTTGAAGTTGGCAAGTCCCGTAGTATGCATGTATGGTAAATGTTGTGTGACAAATTTGAAGCATGGGGTGTTCTTTGATTGCTTTCCTTATGAGTGGCGGTCGGGGACGAGCGATGGTCTTTTCCTACCAATCTATCCCCCTAGGAGCATGTGTGTAGTGCTTGGTTTTGATGACTTGTAGATTTTTGCAATAAGTATGTGAGTTCTTTATGACTAATGTTGAGTCCATGGATTATACGCACTCTCACCCTTCCATCATTGCTAGCCTCTTCGGTACTGTGCATTGCCCTTTCTCACCTCGAGAGTTGGTGCAAACTTTGCCGGTGCATCCAAACCCTGTGATATGATACACTCTATCACACATAAGCCTCCTTATATCTTCCTCCAAACAGCCACCATACCTACCTATTATGGCATTTCCATAGCCATTCCGAAATATATTGCCATGCAACTTTCCGCCATTCTGTTTATTATGACACGCTCCATCATTGTCATATTGCCTTGCATGATCATGTAGTTGACATCGTATTTGTGGCAAAGCCACCTTCATAATTCTTTCATACATGCCACTCTTGATTCATTGCATATCCCGGTACACCGTCGGAGGCATTCACATAAAGTCATATTTTGTTCTAAGTATCGAGTTGTAAGTAAATAAAAGTGTGATGATTTTCATTATTAGAGCATTATCCCATGTGAGGAAAGTTCTTCGAGAAAAAAAGAGAGAAAAAAGAGGGAAAGAAAAAATGAGAGAAAAAGAGAGAAGGGGCAATGTTACTATCCTTTTTCCACACTTGTGCTTCAAAGTAGCACCATGATCTTCATGATAGAGAGTCTCCTATTTTGTCACTTTCATATACTAGTGGTAATTTTTCATTATAGAACTTGGCTTGTATATTCCAATGATGGGCTTCCTCAAAAATGCCCTAGGTCTCCGTGAGCAAGCAAGTTGGATGCACACCCACTTAGTTTCTTTTGTTGAGCTTTCATATATTTATAGCTCTAGTGCATCTGTTGCATGGCAATCCCCACTCCTTGCATTGAAATCAATTGATGGGCATCTCCATAGCCCGTTGATTAGCCACGTCAATGTGAGACTTTCTCCCTTTTTGTCTTCTCACACAACCTCCATCATCATATTCTATTCCACCCATAGTTCTATGTCCATGGCTCGCGCTCATATATTGCGTGAAAGTTGAAAGAGTTTGAAAAGGCTAAAGTATGAAACAATTGCTTGGCTTGTCATCGAGGTTGTGCATGATGGAAGCATTTTGTGTGATGAAAATGAAGCATGGCCAAACTATATGATTTTGTAGGGATAAGCTTCCTTTGGCTATGTTATTTTGATAAGACATAATTGCTTGGTTAGCATGCTTGAAGTATTATTATTTTTATGTCAATATTAAACTTCTATCTAGAATCTTTTGGATCTAAACATTCCTGCCGCAATAAAGAGAATACATTGAAAATTATGTTAGGTAGCATTCCACATCAAAAATTCTGTTTTTATCATTTACCTACTCGAGGACAAGCAGGAATTAAGCTTGGGGATGCTTGATACGTCTCCAATGTATCAATATTTTTTTATTATTCCATGCTATTATATTATCTATTTTGGATGTTTAATGGGCTTTATTATGCACTTTGATATTATTTTTGGGACTAACCTATTAACCGAAGGCCCAGTGCAAATTGATGTTTTTTTTGCCTATTTCAGTGTTTCGCAGAAAAGGAATATCAAATGGAATCCAAACGGAATGAAACCTTCGCGAGGATCTTTTTTGGAAATAACGCAATCCAGGAGACTTGGAGTGGAGGTCAAGGAAGCAACAAGGCGGCCACGAGGTAGGGCGGCGCAACCAGGGTAGGCACGCCCCCCACCCTCGTGGGCCCCTCGTGGCTCCACCGATCTACTTCTTTCGCCTATATATACTCTTATACCCTAAAAACATCCAGGGGAGCCACAAAACCACTTTTCCACCGCCACAACCTTTTGTACCCGTGAGATCCCATCTGGGGACCTTTTCCGGCGATCTGCCGGAGGGGGATTCGATCACGGAGGGCTTCTACATCAACACCATAGCCTCTCCGATGATGTGTGAGTAGTTTACCACAGACCTTCGGGTCCATAGTTATTAGCTAGATGGCTTCTTATCTCTCTTTCAGTCTCAATACAAAGTTCTCCTCGATGTTCTTGGAGATCTATTCGATGTAATTCTTTTTGCGTTGTGTTTGCCGAGATCCGATGAATTGTGGGTTTATGATTAAGATTATCTATGAACAATATTTGATTCTTCTCTGAATTCTTATATGCATGATTTGATATCTTTGCAAGTCTCTTCGAATTATCAGTTTGGTTTGGCCTACTAGATTGATCTTTCTTGCAATGGGAGAAGTGCTTAGCTTTGGATTCAATCTTGCGGTGTCCTTTCCCAATGACAGCAGGGGCAGCGGGGCACGTATTGTATTGTTGCCATCGAGGATAAAAAGATGGGGTTTATATCATATTGCTTGAGTTTATCCCTCTACATCATGTCATCTTGCCTAATGTGTTACTCTGTTCTTATGAACTTAATACTCTAGATGCATGTTGGATAGCGGTCGATGTGTGGAGTAATATTAGTAGATGAAGAATCGTTTCTGTCTACTTGACACGGACGTGATGCCTATGTTCATGAGCATGCCTAGATATCATCATAACTATGTGCTTTTCTATCAATTGCTCGGCAGTAGTTTGTTCACCCACCGTAACATATGCTACCTTGAGAGAAGCCACTAGTGAAACCTATGGCCCCGGGTCTACTTTACATCATACTATTTACCCGTCAGCTAGCTATTTCTATCGTTGTTTATTTTGCAATCTTTACTTTTCAATCTATACAACAAAAATACCAAAAATATTTATCTTATTATCTCTATCAGATCTCACTTTCGTAAGTGATCGTGAAGGGATTTACAACCCCTTTATCATGTTGGTTGCGAGGTTCTTGTTTGTTTGTGCAGGTACTAGGCGACTTGCGTGTAGTCTCCTACTGGATTGATACCTTGGTTCTAAAAAACTGAGGGAAATACTTATGCTACTTTGCTGCATCACGATTTCCTCTTCAAGGGAAAACCAACGCATGCTCAAGAGGTAGCACTAAGGAGGGTAATGGCGGAGGAACCATCTGCCAAGCGTCCCCGTGGTGAGACGTCCGACAAGACCACCGAGGTCGATGACGTTCAGGTCCCCGGTCAGAAGCTCGACTACACCAGGTACCTCAAGGAGGTTGACATCCATGGCAAGGAGAAGCTGGATGTCGTATGCACCAGCAATCTAGATGAAGCAGACAAGATGATCACCGGGATCAGGAAGAGGGTCGGCGGCTTGTACCCTCGGTACATCGGCGTTTATGTGGAGTATACTAGGGAAGACGAACCTCTGCAGAGGGCAGTAGTTCTACAGTTATGCGTGGAGGAACTCTGCCTCGTATACCACATCACCGTGGCAACAAAATGGTGAACCATCCTACAAATTCAACCTCTTCATGCATCTGTTTAATTAGTGATGCACCCTGAAATTTGATTAAATTTGTTTATGAACTTGATGTACTTGTGAAGTTTCTGAAGTAGATGTAGTAGAATAGATTTTGAACCTGACGCGCCAGATTAGTTTATGAATTTGATGCACTAGATCAATTTATGAATTGTATGTACGAGATTATTTTCTGAACTTGATGTTCTAGTGTAGTTTCTATTCTTGATGCAATACTACGGTTTCTTGAATTGATGTAATAAAGTAGCTAAGAAGCAGATAGATCATTGACTCAAGTGTAAATACCAAAAGAAAAATAACATGTTGTGCTTGAATTTAATTTCTGAACTTTGTATAGTAGTTGATGGATTCACCTTCAATCTATCATCCCCCTTGCAGGCCCAAGAGCCTATGCCCGTTCCTGAAGGAGGACAAGTTATACACCTTTGCCGCTTCAGTATTGAAGGTGACAAATAGAAGCTGCAGAAATCTGGTTTGGAGATCAACCCCGACAAGTACATCGACATCCAACGCAAGTGGAGAGTTCTGTTCAAGGAAAGAAAGAGGTTCCACTCGTTGGCTGATGTTGCAGGAAGCGTGATCCACCCATTCGACAACAAGATGAGAAAAAGATTGACAGGGATGAAGACCATAAACTCCGGGGGATCAACCCACTGCCAAATTACCTCATCGAGTATGCATCGATAGATGCGTACGCCACCTACGAGTCGTGGAATAAAATTGAAAACATCGGAGAAGGTCTAGAGAGTGCAAAAGAGGTAGAGAAGAATTACGACGATCCCTACTACGGCTACTAGTGATGACGAAAACTTAAAAATCTGGCCTTGGATTTGCTTGTGTTTGTGCTTGTCCTTTCTATTGTTTCAAGTTCGTAGTTTACTTCTGTTAGAATGAACCAGTTTCTAATGTCATTTGTATTAGGTTAAACAAGTTTGCTTATGTCAATTTCGTAGTTTGTTTATATGATTGAACAAGTTATTTTCACACGATAGTGGCTCTAGAAGTAGTTATGTTGCTCTTCACTCTAAGAACAACAAAATACAAAGCAGCCTTGGATGCTAAGTACAGTTTAGTTGGGCACACAAGTACTGCCACAAAAAAAGTCCTAGAAGTACAGTGAAAAATAATGACAAAAAAGGTGCCATCACACTAAATGCCGTAAGTTCTAGCCGATCAAAACATTCAATACTAAATAAATTAGTTTCTATCGGCAGACTAAGGCATAGCCTAGTGGTGGGAAGGGGTTGATGCCTTCCCACCCACCCAGGTTCAAGGCATGGTACTTGCAATTTGGGTTTGTCGCATCAATTATATTGTAGGGGCCTCCTTTACGGTCTTTCTTTAAAAAATCAGTTTCTACCGGGCCGAAAAATTAATAAGCACTACGACAAAAAATCCTAAGAAGCATCATTTGGCATTTTCTTAAGCACTAACGGGTTAAGGATAACAGTTCCAGTACTTCAAAAACACTAAGTACATTTAGAGACCATCAGTTAGAGAGGCACAGTTGTGAAATTTCTAGAGCCACTGTCGTGTGGCTCCAGAGGCATGGGATTGAATAGACATTTAGAGAACCACGTCATGAGGTACGGGTGTGTAAGCACCAGAGCCACTGTCGTATGGCTCCAGGGGAATGGACTTCACTTCCGTGCCTCCGGCCTCCGGCACAGGTTTGAAGTCTCTACATAAGTGAAGGCACCACAAGGATCCAAAGGCACAGAAGTGAAGGCACCACAAGCATCCAGAGGCACGTGGACCGAGTAGGAGAGGTGAGGTCTGAATACTCAGTTAGAGGGGCACGGTTTTGAAGTGTACAGAGCCATGGGGGTGTGACACCATGGGGGCATGTAAGAGTCACAACAAGTGTCATGTGAGGAACGTGGATGCAGGTACGGAAGGCACGGGGCGGACTTGGGACTTCTCGATGCACGAGTATCAACCATGTGGATGCACAAGAGTGTGGTGGCAGAGGCATGTGTGTGAATGCTCTATTAGAGATGCACGGTTGCGACGTCTGCGAAGCCACATGGGTGTGGTACCGCGACCACGTAAGAGTCATGGGGCATGACACGTTAGGCACGTGGATGCAGGCACGGAAGGCATGGAAGTGAAGCCACCAGAGGCATAGATGTTGGGTTTCTCGAGGCGAACAGGTATCAACCCTGTGGGTGCACAAAAGTGTGGTACTAGAGGCATGCTTCCGAATACGCAGTTAGGGAGTCATAGTTCTGAAGCCTATAGAGTCACGCGTGTCTGGCATCACGGGCATGTAAGAGTCATGGTAGGGGCGTGGGGCTTCGCGAGGCACCGGTCTCAACCCTCTGGACGCATGGTGGTGTGGTAGAAGAGGCATGCTCACTACTAGGAAAAGGCATGTTAGTGGCGCACCTATTTTGGCCATTAATGACGCACTATAGGTGCGCCGCTATCATCACGCCACTAGTAACAAGTACTAATGGCGCACCCCTGGTGTGCCATTAGTATACCAGATAATAGTGGCGCACCATATAGTTTGCCATTACTATCTGACTTAGTAATGGTGCACCAGATATGTGGTGCGCCATTACTAACAATTTTTTTCAAAAAAATCAATTTTTTTCATTTTTTTTCTTAATCTCGGGCCACTATGGCTTAATCTCGAGTCAATATGCTTAATCTCAAGTCAAATCGCACTCCATGGTCAAACTTCTCGGGAGGTCACCCATCCTCACACTACTCCAGCCTGAGCACGCTTAACTTCACAGTTCTATCCAACCCCAGCACCAGCTCACTTAACAAGCACTTGTTGATATATCTATCATATCAGTCCTATTAAACCTTGTTGATGTCTATGACTTTGTTCATGTTCATGAGTGTGATGAAATTTTGAAAAACTATTTCAAACTTCCCAGTCATATTACGTATCATATTTTGAACATTTTTCAAAAAACAAAATTCGAAACGAATTTTTTTTCTGTTACTAGTGGCGCACCTACCAAATGGTGCGCCATTACTAAGTTTGATTTTTTTCCATTTCCCCCCTCTAGATCTTAAAAGCCCCGTATCTTTCGTTCTGTTAGGTCTTTTGGGATTCTAAAAATCTTCAACGAGGTTTCCCCGGTTGAATTCGGATGTAAATTTTCGAGTAGATGATTTTTCATATAAAAACTTTTTAATCCGAGTTCGTATGCAAAAGTTATGCCCATTTTACTAAATTCCAGAGAAATTTTGCAAATAAAGTCGAAATTCATATTTGTAAATTTTCCCAACAATTAGACCACATATCACATGGGAAACTTAGTTTCTTTTATCTTTTGACATTTCCATCATTTTCTTTTATTTTTTCTAAAACTGAAAAGGCGGTCCAGGGGGGGTGCAAAGAAAGTTAGTAATGGCGCACCTTCACAAAGTACGCCATTACTATGTGTATGACTTGGTCAAACCTTAGTCAAAGTTAGTAATGGCGCACTTAGTGTAGGTGCGCCATTACTAAGTTTGACATAGTAGGCGCACCTATGCAAAGTGCGCCATTACTAAGTTTGACCAAGGTTTGACCCAGTCATACACATAGTAATGACGCACTTTGTACAGGTGCGCCATGCTAACAATTTTTTTTATTTTTTTTCAAAACTAGTAATGGCGCACCACAACCAGGTGCACCATTAGTAATATGTCAATAATGGCGTACCTGTATCTGGTGCGCCACTGCTATATAGCAGTGGCGCACCACATACATGTTGCACCATTAATGTCCATATTAGCTATAGCCCTTTTTGTAGTAGTGGATTGCGAATACTGAGATAGGGAGGCACCATTGTGGATGCATAGGTGTGAAATCTCTAAAGGCACGGGTGTGTGGCACCACAGGCATTGGTTTGAATACTCATTTAGAGAGTCACGCCTGTACTCAGGCCAGATGCACACAGCACTGTAGGTTGGTGGCATTTCGAAACACACGGTTGCACAGAGGGGGAATCTCTGTGTAACATCAAAGTCACAGGCGATCACGCATGAAAAGTATGTGGAGTCCTTGTGCGGGGGTCAAAATGGCAATTATTTTCCAGGATCAAAACAACTTGAGCAGTTGTTATACTGTTAGAGGAGTGAATGATGTCTGCAACCTGGCGTGACCATTGATGAACTGACTCTCCCTCGCGTTGGACGCAATGCCGCAGGTCAACAATCATCATCGGGAGTTTGCAAGTTCCTTGGAAATTCTTGATGAAGCGCTCCTTCAATTCTTCCCATGTGTTGATGGAGTTGGGGGCAGGTTCTTCAGCCATGTATGGGCCGGCCCCTCCAACATCATAGTCAGGTACATGGCACAAACTGCGTCACTAACATCCAACATATCCATGGCGATCTCGTAGCTCTCGATCCAAGCAGTCGTCTCATGATCAGTCATGTAATTGGGGACCTTGCGGGGCCCTTTGAAATCTTTGGGCATGCGCTCATTGCGTAGAGCCGACGCTAGACAGGGTATCCCAATGGTTCTGATACTTGAAGCTAATTGGGTTGTAGCAGGCGGTACTTGCGTTGTCGTGGTTGCTGCCTCTGCTACACGTTGAGCCCGAGTCGTGTCGACGATTGCCTAAGCGTCTGAGCCCCCAAGTCGAGCCGGGTCATGTACTGCTCACATCGCCGATGAGCACTGCTGGAGACCGCGGGCGACTCAGCATGGCGGCTCCTACTGCGGCTCGGGTGCGGGGTAGAGTGGAGTCGTTGCTGACTGTAAGAGTAGTTTGCTTGCTGGGCAACCATAGTCTTTAACATCTCAATGGCGTTCCGGGCCTCGATCTCAACTAGCAATTCCTTGTGATCGGAAGCGCGGCCAAGTTGGTTACTCCTGTCAACAGGTTATCAACGGGATTGGAGAAGTGACCCGCCAGCATCAGGAAACGTTGCAGAGGCATCTAAACAATTAGAGGGCGAGGGGTTGGCTCATGCTGGGGATGTTGAGTCGGCTGATGAGGTTGAACCGGTGGTGG